CCAACACTGGGGCTATAGACACAAGTCGGCACACCTGGTTTATTATTCTTGTTATTATTACTATTATCTCTTCTTCATTTTTTATTTTGTTTTAGTGTGTGTGTGTCACAGCTCATGTGTGGAGATCAGTTCTCTTTTTCCTCCATGTAGGTTCCCGGATCTTCAGCCTTGGTGACAAGTCCCTTACCCACTGAGCCAGCCCCACACTGGGTTCGCTGTACATGGTCTTTTTGTTTTGTTAAAGGATTTTATTAATTTTTTATGTGTCTGTGTGTTTTGCCTGCCTGTATGTTAAGTGCATCATGTGTGTGTGCAGCGCTTGAGAAGGCCAGAAGAGAGTATTGAATTCTGGGAACTAGAGTTACAGAGCATCCAAATGGTGCTCACAACCATCTGTAAGGATTTCAGAGGATTTGACCCCCTCTTCTGCCCTCCGTCAGCCCCAGACATGCCTGTGATGCACACATATAGGGAAAACACTCATATACATACAATAAAATTGAAAATAAGACTACAGCAAGAGCTAGAGAAGAGTGAAATTTATGCCCCACCTGCCCAGGACTTTCTCCTTGAAAACAGTCAGGGGAGAAAAGAAAGAGAGGAAAACAGGTGTGGGAGTGATGGCCTGTAATCTCTTGCTAACAGGTAGATTGAGGCAGGGGGATTATGAATCTGAGGCTACCCTAAACTACATAAAGAACTGAAGACCGGCTTGTGGAACTTAGTCCAGACCATGTCTTTTTTTTTAAACTCACTATATAGGCCAAACTGGTTTCAAATTCACAGAGATCTGCTGCCTCTGTCTCCCGAAGGCTGGGATTAAAGGTGTGCACCACCAGGCCTGGCCAGAACGCGTATTACTCCCCATCCTACCCCACACCCCGTTTTATTTTAAAGGACTGGGGCTTACAGGATAGTGAGAGTACTTGTCAAGCAAAAGGTCCTGAATTCAAACCCCAGCACTGCAAGGGATAAAGCAAGAGATGAACGAATATCTTGCCTGTACTCTGACCTGGTGCTGGGTGGGTCATTCAGCATCCCGAGACGGATGCTGAGGCTCCCATAGTACTGCGAGTTCACCATGGAAAGATGGCCTCGGCTTCCCGGGACTCCCAGCTTCCATCCAGAATAGGCAGCACAAGTACCATTTCACACAGAGAATAGAAGAGTCTACCCAAAGGGAAATGGCTCAGTCAGTGCTTACTGTCCAAGCATGATGACTTGTGTGGAATCCCAGGACCTTTGTAAGAAAGGTCAAGCTGTGTGGTGACACAGGCATGTAATCCTGGTGCTGGGGAGGCAAAGACAGGCAGCTCCCTGGGGTTCAGTGACCAGCCGGACAGCTTATGGAGCTGAGGCACATGAGGCACATGAGGCATCCTGACCCAACAAACAAGGTGGGTAGTGTTCTTGAGGAAAGGTACCTGAGTTTGAAGTCAGGCCTATGCATGTGCTCGAACACATTTATACCCACACACATGAACACGCACACACACACACCACACCTAAGATAACACAGTTGCTCAGAATGTGAACTGGTGACCATGGAGACTGTTTCTTGGGGTTTTAACATAATCGAGAAGTATAGGGGTCCTTGACCATGTGACTCCCACACATGGGGCCTCCTACAAGGTCCTTACTCCCTCCCAACAGCCCAGCTCCACTCTTGGGCAAAGAGCAGGCTTGACCGAGCCACACCCAAGAGATGAAACCAGGAGCCTCCGGGAATCTCCAGCTCCCAGTCGCCCAGCACAGCTACAGGCCTGACGGATTCTTTTAAGTGAAGCTGGTGATGTGGTGGGCGGCCAGTGTCTTTGAGATCCCACTGAAATTCCTGCCCTTGGCCAGTTAAGATGAAGCCCCTTGTGTTTCCCAATCCCAGCTGACAGTGATAGAAGCCAGTCTCCCCAGGAAACTTTACATCAAAGGAGAAGGACCAGGAGGGGTGGAGAGGAAAGAGGTGGACACCCCTAGCCGCTTCTGTTTCCTTCCCCTAGGGATGCTGGTGAGGGGCCACTTCCTATTTCTGACGGGCCAGGAGAGCAGTCCTCAGGAAGGAGACTCAAGACAACAGCCCAGCCCTCCTCCAGCCCACAGCTCTCACAGCCAGCGCCCCAGGTCACCGCCTCGAGCATGTGTGAGCAGAACGGCAGGTCAGACAAGCTGTTTTGGGGGCAAGCACACCCATCAGCAGTGAAGAGAGGCGCCTTGTCCTCCTGGGATCACTGATACAGTGAGCACCTGAGCACCTGATGTAGGCCAGGCGTTGTGCTGGGTACTAGTGGTCCACAAGCCCAGTGAATGTTCTTTCAGAGACTACAGTCCAGTGCAAGACACAAGCCTTGATCTAAGGCCCCCCAGCTGCAGGGAGGACTCTAAGAAGGGTGGAAGAGAACAAGGGACTATGGTGCGGATAGTGAGAGAGGGAGGCCAGACTTGTGGCTAGTGACCCGGGTGAAAAGGGGGAGTGTTCCGGCCCTATGCAAGCATGGGAGGAAGCCAGAGAGAAGCACGGAGTTAGGTGAGACCGGCCGCGCTGGATCTCAAAGGGCAGTTCAGGGATCAGTCTCCATGGGAAAAGTAATAGACCACTAACCGAGGTGATCCATGGAGAAGAGGAAAAGACTGTTAGCATCTTGAAAACATCCTTACGGCTGCTAGTGGAGCACACATAGAGGGGCCTGCGTGTAACTGCAGAGGAAGTCAGGGAGTGAAGGCCAGCCTTAGCAAGAGAGGCACAGCAGGAAGACCAGCGTCCCTGACCTTGGAGGTCGGCTTCTGGAAGCCAGAGATTTAAAAAGAGGTCGGAAAAGCAATGACCTCAAGACTCCATTGCAAAGTTGACCCCCACCCCCACCCCAGAGAGCCCTGCTGTGTGCTTTTGCAAGTCTGACTTGCCCCTCTGGGCTTCCCCCTCCTTTAAGAGGTAGCTTTGTGATTGTCCCAGGGTCCCCAGAGGACACCAACACCCACTTCTCCCCCCCCCCCCCCCCCCGTGTGGTCTTTTTACGTTTGTAAACAACACTACAGTGAGTAATTGTGCGACTGCATATTTGCACCCACGCTTATAGACCTCATGTGCTCACGCACGTCCTGGGGGGATATGCCCAAAAGTGAAAGGCCTTTGTTCTTGATGCATTTTGCCAGACTGCCTTATTGTCATCTAAGAATCTAAGAGACCACTGGTGAAGGAAACCTTCCCAAGCCTCAGGTCAAAGCCCTTGTGCCTTTAATAGACATTCCTGAATTATAAAAAGCCCAAACATAAGTTCACCAAAGGCCACTGTGATGTCCCTGAGTCATTTAAATTTATGTGACTCCCTCTGCCCTGCCATTCCACACAAACCTTGGCCGATGGTTGGGCGGATGAAGGGACAAAGATGTTGTGAGCCTGATGACCACAGGGATTCGGGAGCACCCAGGGGTGCCTGCAAGGTCTGTCCCCACCAGTTAGCAGTTAGGTGGGGACTCAGAGGGCGGTGGTGCAGTGAGTATGTGAGATCCTGATGGGAGGACATGGTGGGACCTGGAGACAAATGAGAAGACGGTAGGGCGTGGGCCAGCCTTCTTTAGGGACAGTCTGTGGTCAGAAAGTGAGGAACTTCCTCTGGGACCCAGTCTGCCTGTCTCCCTGCCTCCCTCCCCTTCCCTCTTTCCCTCCCTCCCTCCCTCCCTCCCCTTCCCTCTCTCCCTCCCTCCTTCCCTCTCTGTCTGTTTTTCGAGACAGGGTTTCTCTGTGGCTTTGGAGGCTGTCTTGGAACTTGCTCTTGTAGACCAGGCTTGCCTCGAACTCACGGAGATCCGCCTGCCTCTGCCTCCCAAGTGCTGGGATTAAGGTGTGTGCCACCACCTCCCGGCACAGCACTGTCTCTTGACAACAAATGAGTCTATGTAACGTGTTGGACCCTATGTAAAATCAACTTATGAGACTACCCCATTACAAATCATTGATGATTCTGGGGTAGCAGGGACAGAGCATTAAGGGGGCCTCCAGAAGTGCAAGACAGTCCCTGCAAGGTTGTTGTATGCCTTCCTTGGAATGTGCCTTCTCTCCCAGTGGCCATGGGCTATTCAGTGAAGAACGAGTCAGGGTCCAGCCTGGCCTGCTGCTGCCAGGCTGTGGGTAAGGATGATGGTGGTGGTGGTGGGGAACAGTGGATGGAACCAGAGTGGGGCTAGAGCCTGGAAGACAAGGGTGTGCAGAACAAGGCTGGGAAGTACATTGTGTGTGTGTCTGAGAGAAAGGGAGGGAGGGAGGGAGGGAGGGAGGGGGGAAGGAAGGAGGGGGAAGGAGGGAGGGGGGAGGGAGAGAGGGGGGAGGGAAGGAGGGAGGGGAAAGAGAGAAAGACAGACAGACAGACAGTAGAGTCTTTCTGCAGAGCTAGCAGAAGGGTGCTGGGATCAACCCGAAGCTGCTTTGCACACTGTTGTTTACCAGGCTGAGTCCACTCCATCGCAGTGTTACCCATTGGGCCTATGAGAAAGAGGGGTTCCGAGAGGGGAAAGGGGCAGAAGTGGGTACTCTGCCTCCCACTCCCTCTCCTCCCTCACTCGAGGGTCCACCAGCCAGGGATGGCAGGGGGAGGGAGCGGGTGCCTGGAGTGGGTGTGGCCCTGGCCATCAATGTGGCCGGGAGGGCCCAGGGTCCCCAGTCAACCCATTCCAAGGCCCCTTTGCTCCTCCTGCTTTCACGAGGCCTGGCTAGGTCTGGGAGAGTGTGTGAGTGCAGTGGCCTGGCTCACAGGGACTTCCCACCTTCTTTGAGGGAGTCAGCCCCAGCCAGCTAGTGCCCAGAGCCAAGGCTGGCACCGTGGCCGTGGCCCCCAGCTGTGCATCCTTGGCGCCTTAGCCGCTGTTTCTGAATTATTGTGTGGCAGACTTTCCACTCTACCGGGGTGTGCTCGTCCATAAAAAAATTAATGGCCCCTGCAAATAAAGAGGTACAACAGCAGAGGAAGGCTTTTTAGACAATCAATTAAAAGCCTAGGAGAGAGATTATCTCATTGAAATATCAATTTTTAATAGCCCTGCATCTTTGAGTTTCCTCTAAAAAACTTGGCCCAGGCCATTAGGCTGCTTGCTTCTGACTTTGACTCCTGCTGCCTTGACAGAGTGGGCACTCTCCGTAGCCGGGCCTGAGCAGGATACAGTGCGGCTCCTCACTTGTTCAATAGCTCCCTTCCCCTCCCTCCCCCACCTCCACCCTGCGCCGTGAGTACAGCTGTGCCAGGGTAACCCAGTGAGCCAAGATGAGGAATCACAGGTGAGCAAGGGACCCGGGGGTCAGCATCAGCCGGGTGACCACGTGAGCAGTCACAGAAGGTAAAACCATCTGGAAAAATGAGCGTCGAGGAACAGAAGGGAGGAGCCACGAAAGAATGTCGGGCAGAGCCAGGGAAAGGCTTGTCACCTCCTTCTCCTCGGGAAGTGGCGTTCTGTTTTAAATGAGATCAGAAGCTTGTGAGGGAGGGAAGAAAGTCCCAGTTGGAAAGAAAAACGCGTCCGATGGCCCCAAGGGTGGACGGGGTCCTACAGGAGTGGAAAAGAGGCCCCAGCCTGGAACAAAGAACACGAGGTTGGGGGCGGGGTAGGAAATGGAAAGGGATACCACGAACATCGTGGCTCTGTCTCGGCAGTCCCAAGAAGGGGTGCGTGGTCCATTCAAATGTCCCGTGAGCCTCTGGGACAGCAGTGCGCACACATCTGCTCTGGAGAGCAGCCCGGGTTCAGGTTGTGGCTAAGACATTTAGGAGGCTGCTGAAGGCCTTGGCCTGAGTTCCTCACCCATAAGGTGGGAGAACTTTCCTGATTGTCCCCCGGGGCTGTCAGAGGTGTGGCAGCTGACCTAGGCAGACTGCCCCACCCTGCGCCTCCTCCTCTCTTCTGCCCATCTTCTCTTGGCAGCCTCTTCAGTTTACCCCCCCGGGGACTTTGGGATCAGATAAGCTCTGTCTGATGAAGGGTTCCCACCAGCGCAGTTCCCAAGCAGATAGCTACCCCCCCCAGCTTCAATGCCCCAGCTGGGCAAAGGGGGCCAGGAACAGTCAAGCTGCTTTCCCTCTCTCTGTGGTTATGAAACTAACCACCAGATACCCGAGTAACCATCAGGTTGGGAGTCTGAGATTGCGCTGTGTGGGAGAGAGCGGGAGGGCCTGGGTGGGGTGGTCTGTCTGCCCCTGGACAGGACTCCAACCCCAGTAAGGACACATCCAACCCCTTCTGGACAACTGGCTTCCCATCCACACAGGACAAAGGTGGGGAAATGATTCGCTGCTGGAGGCCTGACACCTGTCTCTTCTCATTTCCCATAGGCTATCCCCAAGGAGCACGTGTGGAAACTGAGGTTCAGAGAGTTGGTGCTCCCTGCTTAGCAGCGTAGGCAATCCTCGCTCGCCTGCTGGTCTCTTCCCAGTTACTTTAGTCCCTCCCTCTGCTTGTGTGTGCCTGCACACGTGTGTGTATATGCGTATTAGTATTTGTGTGCATGTATTTGTGTGTGTGTGGAGACCAAGGGTCAATAACATCAGGTATCATCCAATCACTCTCCATCTTAATTTTTGAGACAGTGTCTCTCACTGAATTAAGAGCTCACTTCGAGCAAGCCATGAGGAGCACCCTTTCGGGTTATTGCATCAGCTCCTGCCTCTGGGTTCCTGCCCTGCTTGAGTTCCTGTCCTGACTTCCTTTGGTTATGACCGGCAACATGGAAGTGTGAGCGGAATAAACCCTTGCCTCCCCAGTGGCTTTGGTCAGTGTTTCACCACAGCAGCAGCCCTAAGTTCCCTTCTTTGCGGTGCTGAGGGTGGAACCCAGGGCCCCTGCACAAGCCAAGCAAGTGTCTTACCATTGAGCCCCACCCTCTTGAGGTACTTGAATGTAGGACCAGGAACTACTGGAAGGATCTGTGATTCCCAGGATGGAACCGAAGGGTCAGGGATAACCTCCACAGACGAGCTTCTCGGTAATGAAGTTCCTAATGTACCTAAATGAGAGGAGGAGTGAGTCTTGGGGTGAGAAGGGTCTCTGCAGAGGACCCAAATCCCAGTGGTGGCTGTGGTGGCATCCTTGCCTCCCTCCACCAACAAGTTAACCAGCCACTACTCAGAATCAGGGTTCAGAATCACCAGCCAATCACTGGCTGGCCCCTCCCCTCCATGGTCCCAGTTTTCCTGTTTTACCCACTTCCCAGGCAGCTGAGAAGATTAACATTCAACAGCACAGATGGGAAGGAGGAACGTGACCCCAAAGCCTCCTGCTCCTCTGCTGGGGTGACCAGGACCCCCTTCCTCAGAGGTTGAAGTCCAGTCCAGCTAGAGACAGACAAGTAGCTCCCAAGCCTTTGTGGAACAGTCTGGCATCCAGTCTCCAGACTGACCTGGTCAAGGGTGCTCTGGCCCACAGGCAAGCTCAGAGATGGCGATTGGGAAGTCAGCAGGGGAGGGGTAAAGAGGGACCCACGGCAGGAGGCTCGTCTTGAGTGTGGCTGAGCACCAGGGTGCTCAAGACAAGAGCAGATCCTCGGGTGTGTGGGTGGGAGCTGGTGCAGTGGCGGTCAGCCATGGCTAGTTCTTGGATGGGGAGGGAAACCTCTATGTGGGAACCAGAGGCTTCGGTTTACAGTCGGTCCTCCAGGCCCCTCCACAGAAATTACCCAGTGCAGGGGAGGGGGCTGGAAGGCCTTTCCAGGGAGCCCCTGCTCCCCTGAGAGGCACCTGCCTGGGGCCAGGGAGGCAGCTGGCATCTCACAACCCTGCAATTAGCAGATAAAGTCAGCAGTCTTCTGCTGACAGTGGCAGTGGGGGCATCGGGCTGAGCTGCAGCTGGCTCCTGAGTGCTACCTCTGTCTCTAGTCCCCACCAGATGCCCCGGAAGGGTTGGCGGGAATGGCTGTCAGCCTCCTAGGTGGGCAAGGCAGTAGGGCTTTGGGTGGCTTTGCAGAGCACAGGAAGGCATAAAGAACATGGGTGGTGGTCTCATAGGAGGGCATGGCCAGTCTATGGTTGTGGTCCCCTTTGTACAGAGAAACTAAAGCTTAGCATGGGGCATGTATGCCTACAGGGCTCCAGTGAGAATGGCTGTCCTGGAGAGACGAGGCCTGATAAAGTCTCCTTGGGTTAGCGATCTTGACTAGAGAACATGGGCAGACTCCGGGGTCCCCAGCCCTCAGTTACAATGCAGAGGGAGGAGCCAGACCTGGGATGCAAGCCCAGCCTGTCTGGGAACTCCAAGGCCTGGAATGAGAGACACGGAGGGTCTGGGCCGCTGCTGTGCTGAATCTCTGGGCTGCCTGCTTTCTCCAGACTTGGATGCCCCCACATACAAGCAGCTGGGGTGGGCTGGGATTTGGCATCACCTGGCCCTCCGTTTTTCCTCCACTCCTCTATAATAGCCCCTCCACCCATGGAGTGCCCTTCAGGACAGGGTCTCACTATGTAGCTCTGGCTATCTTGGAACTCACTGTGTAGACCTTGAAGGCACAGAGATCCGCCTGCCTCTGCTTCCGAGTGCTGGGATTAAAGGTGAGCGCCACTACACCCCGTTTAGCCCAGCTTTCTCTATTCCTCAGTCATTCCTCTCCCATTATCCCAGGACACTGTGCTGCTGGCTGCTGGGGCAGGGCTAGCAGACAAACAGCCATTCACACTAAGGGAGAAGCGGGTAGGCTGAGGCTGTGGAGGGCTGTGGGGGGAGGATAGTTCTGGGTGGTGGCAAGGGTTCAGCCAGGCTTGGAAAGGCCAGATAGGCAAAGAAGTGGGTGAAACCATAAGCTCCTTGTCCTGGATGGGTAGCATGGGCAGGCTCAACATTCAGATTGCCTGGATTGGGCTAGGACTATGATCACTCAGCTGTGTGGTTGTGGGATAGTCACTTGCTCCCCCTGAGTCCCTGGATACCAGCACAGATGGGACGGTGATGGTGGTACCTGTCTCACTGGCTGGTGGGGAAGACTGGTGTCAGCACTCACACTCCAGTGGTCACCAAGGTCCAGGCCTGTAAGTGACATGTGTACTCGACAAGGCCGTACCTCACACTGGTTGCCCCCCCCATACTGTCCTTAACCTTAAAATGCCTCCCAAAGTAGGCACAAGAAAAGGCTGCAGGGGCTGGTGGGAACGGGGGTGCAGATTGCCTCTCACCTTCTGAGAGCAGCTGTGGCCACGTGGGAGCAGGGGCTGTGTGGTCAGAGGTACTGATGGCCAGGAGAGGGAAACCCACATTTGGACGGGCGAGCTTCCCACGGCTAATATTAGCAGTGCATTAAAGGCTTTCCTTAAGGCACCATGTGAGCCAAAGCCAATGCTTCTGTGGGCCCTGACCCCTAGGTGACTTTCCATGAACTAGCAGTGACCCACGGAAGGGCTGTGAGCAGGGCCCAGCCCCCATAGTCCACATCCCCCCCCCCAGATGCTTTAAGCCTTGTTCCTGGGGCTTCCCTTTCCCAGGCCTGATCCTCTGTCCACTCTTCAAGCAGTCTGGTGGGGAGATCGGCATGGGGAGGAGGCCCCTGCTCTATGCTATCTCTCTGGAGGTGCCAGGGAGTCTGGGGGAGCCAGGGCTCTGCTCTGTGTCTGGGAAGAGCAGCTGCCACTGAGGGCCTGGCTGCTAGCTCCTGGGGGTCAAAGGGCAGCACGCTCAGTCTTTCCTTGGGCCCATTTCCTGTTTGAGAGAGGAAGAAGAAAGATCCCCGGCAGGAGAGGGTCTTTTCCTGCTGGGTTGACTCCTGAGGATGGCTTTCCGGAGTGTTCGGGGTGGGTGGGGGTGGAGGGGTATAGGCGCCTCTTTCTCCCTGCTTCCTTCACCTGGGAGCCCAGGAGAGGACTGGGAGCCTCTGCCACCCCACCAGCACCATCAGTTAGGCCTGGTGAGGACAATGACTCCGAGCTCTGGCCCCCAGCTGGGGTCCCTCAGCAGCCTCACCTCTTCCTCGGTCTCCAGGGCTCCCAGCACTTCTGGATCCCAGCAGTATGGCCTCCAGGGACCTTCCTGACCAAATCACAAAGTGTTTACTGCAGCTCTCCACTCCCAACAGGGAGCCTTTTTATGAGCTCAATTTAACTTCTCTGTGTGCTAGCCTGAGCCCTAGCCGCTTGCCACCTGTGGGAGCCAGCCTCCCATCCACAGAGCCTGAGCCCATCAGGAGGGCAGGAGCCCTGGACTCCCTCTGCCTTTAGGAAACTTAAGTGTCTGCCACTGTGACTCCAATACCCATTTCCTTCAACTTCTATATAAATCTGCTAATGAAGTTTGGAAATTAGATATCAAAAATAAAAATACCATCTGGGTGTGGTGGTACTTGGAAACTGAGGATGTTCAAGGCAGTTTCATGCTCGCCAGATCCTACCTCAAATAAACAACCAAAAAATGAGGGCTTCCTATTTCCTGCGAGTAATTCTCCATCAGTCACCCAATCCTGCAGCAACCAGCTCTTCGCCCTGCTGGCAAATCCTCCTGCCCAAGGTAGACCTCCAAGAATTTTAACAGCTTTTAGTTACAAAATTTATTATTGCCATTATTATTAGTGTGTGTGCATCTGTAGCGATCAAAGGACTTTTTTTTTTCTTGCTTTTGGTTTTTGCCTGTCCTGGAATGAGCTCTGTAGACCAGGCTAGCCTCAAACTCAGAGGTCCACCTGTTTCTGCCGCCGGAGTGCACCAGCCCCACCTGAGGCCAGAGGCCTTTATGGACTTCATTCTCTCCTTCCATCTTTATGCGGGTTCTAGGAATGGAGCCCAGGCTGTCAGGCTTGCACGGCAACTGCTTTACCCAGTGAACCATGGGGCACTAATTTACAGTTGGAAACCTGAGGCACACAGGTGAGGAAAATCCCTGAGGTTGCAGTCAGTAAGGGAGAGCAGAGATTTGAGCCCATGAGGTTCTGGGACTGAGGCCTCTTCCTGTCCACATCAGACGGACACCATACTTCCTTCTTTCCCAACAGGCTGGGCACCAGATGCCTCAGCCACTCGGTGCTCATTCATTTACTCAACAACCCCCCTGGGCTCTAGTCCAACGTTAGGGGCAGGCGATGCTGACCCACCATGCCGCCTTCTCAAGTCTCCTGCAATTCCAAGACTCTGCCCTGAGAGCTTGAACTCCATTTATTACGAAAGTCTGAGTTCATGGTATCTTATTATGAACAGCCCCTGCCAGACCGCCAGGCCTCCCTCAACATGTTCCATCCCTGCATGAAGTCCTGTGCAGATGGGGCCTTAAGAACTGGGTCCTGTGTTTATAAAATCCAGTGGGTCCAAGCAACCCTGGGCACATACACAGACACACATCCAACAGGCTTCCCATCAGTGGGGTGTGAGTAGGTAAGAGCGCAGCCTTCCTGGGAGAGGAGGAAGTGGTGCTCAACCGTGGGACCCAAGGGAGCGCAGAGAGCACGGAGAGCGGCACAATTTGGTTTGAGTGGATGCTCAGCTGGGCATCCGTAGCTTCAGGCCAGTCCTCTTCTGCCCCAGACGTTCTAGGCCACCTGGATTTGCAGGTCCTCATCCTCATCTAGGTCGCTGGCTCCATCTCCGGCTTCCTCGGTGCCAAATCGAGTACTACGGATCTTCCCAAAAAGGGGGGCATTTTGCTGTTGCCTGCGGAGCCTGAGGGGTGGGGGTGACAGGTCAGAGCAGGAACCATAGTGCATCTGTGCTGGTAGCTACACCAGCAGCAACGCACCGAGACAATGTGCTCATACGGGGGGGGGGGGGGGGATGCTATTGCCACTCCAACTTATACAAGGGAACTGAAAGTCACTGGGACAGGACACAGTGGGGTTTCACTCTGAGCTTCAGTGCCAGCTCTGGTGGGGATGGCAGACTTGAGAGGTGACTGAGATGAGGTTGGTTCCTCACAGGGACGCAAGAGACCAAGGAATAGGGTGTGGAGCACACTACGCTCCTAGTGTCTGCTGGGTCCTCGTTCCTCACATTACAATTTCCAAAGGCAAAAATGCGCAGGACAGACTTCGCCCATGCGACTAGGAGGAGGTGGTGGTGGAAACGCACTGCCCCCAACAAGGCAGTTGCTCCACGCATCTTACTGGAAGGCATGAATTATTAACGAGGCGGGGAGGGGAGAGTGCGGCTTCCATTACTGCAGTGATTTAGTGCTCTGTCCCGGACATTAAAGCAAGAAAAGTTACAAACTAGAATGAGGCAGCAATCCTGGGTGGCCCTGCCCGCCCCGACAGAGGTGCTGGGGAGGCTGCACAGAGCCAGCCTGCCCATTTTGGGAGTTTATGGCTCCCCAGGAATGTGGCTGAGACTTCTGGAAAGCCCCAGGCTGAGCAAGTGGTCTGTTGAGGGGGGCAGTGTACAGGGCACGCAGCAAGCCTTACTCAGATCAGTGCCTGGGCCCTGTATAAATTTCGGGTGTCACTCCAGGCTACAGGGAAACTGAGACTCTGTTGATTATGCCACATAATCGTGAGGCCTGGCTTCAAAGCCTCTCCCAACCACAAGCTCTCAGCACACGGTAGCATGGAGAAGATGATCAACAGCCCAGGAGATCCCACCAGGCCAGCCACTACTGGGCAGGGTTTTCCTCTGCCTTCCAGCTCTGAGGGGAGAGCTTGTCCCTTCTTTGCCTCACAGCAGGCTCTGGACATAGTATCTATCTAGCTCACGCCTCGGTCCCCTTCCAGGAGAGACAATGAGAGTGGCCAATCAGTGAAATCGTGACTCAGCATCTCCCACAATTCCCAGGTGGCCCAGGCTAGTCTCCAATTCACTATGTAGCTGAGGATGACCTTGAACTTCTGATTTGCCTCTACCTCCTGAGTGCCAGCATCACACCCATGTAACCCCATGTTCCAGTTTATGTGGTGCTGGGAATCAAATGTAGGTGTAGAATATTTGCAGCAAGCTACGGAGCTACATCTCCAGTCAGGTGCGAATGACGTCACAGCATCTGTTGGTTCGGGTCCTTTTTGAGATTCAAAAAGCTCTCTTCACTGTCGCAGCGACAGATGTCCATTTACAGAGGGGAGAGCTGACCCGCCAAGGTTCAGTGTCCTCAGGTTACCTGGTCCTGCCCCTACCCAACTATGCTGGCTGCAGGCCCGGGTCCCTCCACCCACAGGTGGGGAGGACGGTATGGGCGTGGCCACAATGGCCACACACTCTTGTGGTTTCCCAGCTATGACTCTGGAGTGCTCTGTCTGAAGCACTTTGACACGTCTAGGTGGTCTCAGAAGTGGGAAATGTATGGAGGAGGCAGGATTTAGAGTTGGCACAGTGGGGTGGGGACAGGAGAGGTGGCGGTGTGCCAGGCGGGTGGATCTAAGTACCTGTCCGCTCCCTCCGGGGTCTGAGGGTTCCTGCTATAGCCGAGGGACTGACCTGTCACTCTCTGCCATTCCCTGCTCTTCAACATTTCATATTCCTACTGACCCTGGGGTCACCCATCCCCAAGGCCCCAGGGGATGGTGCTGCTTCTTGCTAAGGACTCCCAGCATCCCTGGGCCGGCCCAGAGCCCGGCCTCCTTGGCAGCCCTCCACATACTCACACCACCAGCCAGCCCACCCGAAGGAGACAATTCCAGACAGCTGGGCTGTCTTCCTGCAGCCGCTCCCCACCAGCTTCCTGGCCCTGGCCCTTCCTGTTCGGAGGAGACAGGATTCGGGCCCCAGGAGCTCTTCCTTCTTGGTCTTCCCTCTGGCTCTCTTGAGAGTTCTTGCCCTCGCTCTGTGTACTTAGGGTCCTCCCCGAGCAGGGCACCCTGCCCACCTGGACTGCAGGTGCTCCAGCTGCACCTGGAGGTTCTCGCTCTGCTCTGTCTGCTCGTCCAGTGACCGCTGCAGCTTCCGCGCCTGGTTGTGGGCCTCATCCAGCTGGGATGAGCAGGGCAGAGAACAGGAGGGTCAGCTTGGGCAGAGGCTGCCTGGCTCAGCCACGTCCCCTGCTCTGCTCTGGAAGTGTGCCCAGTCTCCCGCTCCTGTCCCTGAGGCTCCTGGGGGCCACCACTTCCATTCCATTCTCCAGCCCTGTAGGCCACCCCCACTCCCCCGCCTCCAAATCGACCCCACATGCATCCATCTATCTACCCAGCACCTGCCCAACTGCCCGGTCCCATTTCCTCTCCTCCATGCTCGCCTGCTTCTCATCCAATGCCCTTCCTTCCCTGTCCCCTCACCTGCCCGGTCACCAATCTGTTTGCACACCCATCACCTACCAGCCCCTGCTGCTCCAGCTCATTCAGCCACTTTGCTCTCCGTCCTCTGTGCACGTGGAATCCTCCGCCTTCTATCTCGCCATCTCGCTAGCTCGTTTACCTCAGCCCCTCTCCTTCCCCTCCATCTGTTGTCACCTGCTCACTGCCTCGGGTGCCATGCCCCGGCAGCACAGGCGGGCTTATGGCCCGCTCCTCTCGGGCCTGTTGGTACTTGCCTCATCCTCGGCCTGGGCCAGCTCTTTCTTGAGCTCCTCCACCCGCAGCCGTAGCTTCTTGACCTCCGTCTCGTGCTGTTCCACACGCCGATTGGCGTGTGCCAGCTCCGCCACCTTCTCCTGAAACTGCTTCTTGAGCTTGCCATGCAAGTGCTTTAGGTCTGCCAGCTCCTGCAGGGGCGGGAAGGCGTGGGTCACAGGCTCGCTCAGGGAGGCCCCCCCGCACAGTCAGCTAGGAGACCCTGGCGAGTCCTCTCCAGGGATGTCAGCCTTGCTGTTGAAGGTTCAAGCGTAGTAGTGATCAGCGGGGGGGGACCTGGCAGGGCCACCTTTGAGGTGAGAAGACGGGGCGTGTGGCTCCACGTGGCCGTATAATTGTCCTGGGCCAGGAAGGCGTCCAGTGGGCTGTGGATCCGAGGGAGCAATGAGGTCTACAGTCTTTGGCGACAAGCACGCGGTATGAAACTTCTAAGTCTGGGGATGAGTTAGTCGGTGGGTTGAGTGTGTGGTGCAGGAAGAGAGCCGATATCAAAGTGGGACAGCCAGGAAAAGAGATGGCCACCCTGCTCATTTCCCATCGACAGAGGGGGCAGCCCTGGCTTTACTTTTTCCGCCAGCAGTTAGTTCCAGCAGGG